GGGGGCTGAGGGTTTCTTTTATTGAGTGCAATCAATTAAAATGCATATTTGGATGTTTTGTCCTAGTTTTTTTCTGTAGGCTCACTACACATACAGTAACTAATCAGATTGTTGGAACTTCAAGCAGTTAATGAGTCTGTGGTTCTAGTAATTTCAGAACTTTTCCAGGTCATGATATCTCTGTCACTAATTTAGTTCGAGTCCTAATCTACAAGTACGACATCTTGGAAAAACGTGCAAGGACTAAAAAACCTTGTATGAAGTACTATAAAAAAGCTAGAGAAACCTGTTGACAATGTTCTAGATATGCATAGAATTATGAATTAATGATTGTTTTAACCTGTTTATGTATGATATATTTGAACATTGTAGTTATGTTTTAAAGTTGTTGAGTTTTAAATGGGGCTACCAGAGTAATATGTTATAATTTCTGTTAAAAAGTGTGAAAATAAGATATGATATGAAGATGACACTAGATGTATCTTCTACTGTTTGTTTTCACTGTCTATCATCTGTATTAGTTAGTTCACAATGACATTAGCCATTATTGACTTACTCTGAACATAGTTGACAATAGAAACATTTAGCATGATGTTATGAAGATACTTTCCCCTAGAAACACTGGTCTAGGTCACAACATCTTCTCAATACCTAGCTGTTATTAACTTTTTACTTATACCTTGACTGCAATAAGCAATCTTTCTGGTATTACAGATGGTTGTAGATCGATTTGATTGGATTGTAAGCTTACTTTCCCAAATTATGCAAATCAGAGCCTTCGATTACAGACACACCCAAATTGCCCTATTGCAGAGGGCACCTTATGGGCTGTATTCAGTACAATCCAATCAAATCGCTTCCATAATCACTAATACTTGCCACTGCAATTAGGTTGAAAGGGGGTCAAGTCTGCCATGAACTAAATGACTACTCGTTATGTTTAGCTTATAGGCGGTCACAAGTCTCTTGGTGTACACATGGGGGTACTTTTCTTGAAGGTTCCTATAGTTGTTTTTAACAATAACTGATGCATTTGTCGCTGTGTGATTATATGTTACTATATGTTACTATGAATGGTTGTGTAATTTAATTGTTAGATGGGAGTAAAATATATCAGTTCATGAGAAGAACTTTACAAATTGAGTTGGTATTGACGTAAATAAACTCTAGTAGACAGATGAAATAGGGTTAATCTATAGCTTGTCTCCTAACACATTGTAACATAGGGTTAATCTATAGCTTGTCTCCTACCACATTGTAACATAGGGTTAATCTATAGCTTGTCTCCTACCACATTGTAACATTGGGTTAATCTATAGTTTGTCTCCTACCACATTGTAACATAGGGTTAATCTATAGCTTGTCTCCTACCACATTGTAACATAGGGTTAATCTATAGCTTGTCTCCTACCACATTGTAACATAGGGTTAATCTATAGCTTGTCTCCTACCACATTGTAACATAGGGTTAATCTATAGCTTGTCTCCTACCACATTGTAACATAGGGTTAATCTATAGTTTGTCTCCTACCACATTGTAACATAGGGTTAATCTATAGCTTATCTCCTACCACATTGTAACATAGGGTTAATCTATAGCTTGTCTCCTACCACATTGTAACATAGGGTTAATCTATAGCTTGTCTCCTACCACATTGTAACATTGGGTTAATCTATAGCTTGTCTCCTACCACATTGTAACATTGGGTTAATCTATAGTTTGTCTCCTACCACATTGTAACATTGGGTTAATCTATAGCTTGTCTCCTACCACATTGTAACATTGTTACAATAAATTTGATGCATAATATTCTAGTAACATGACTTGATTGAAATTGCAATCACCAAGAATTGTAAATCATTTTTTTGAAATAATTTTCTAATTCATAGTAACAGTAAGCTAATTCCTTATGAACCATCTCTAATGAACTATCTCTAGTGAACTATCTCTAATGAACTATCTCCAGTGGTTGATCTGGTATAGGTTGTATTAGGGTGCATAGACACAAATCTCAATGAAAGCACTGGCCAAGGTTACAGAGCAATAGATAATCATATTAATTATATGAAAATTAGTTAGACATTGGTATGATTTTAGTTGAAAAGACACACACAAACATACATGTACTCTGACATATAATATACTGTATATAGCCATGACATGTCAACTCAATTTTCCAGTTTTATAAAGATATAATGATTATATACAGGATATTGTGGTCAGATGAGAAAACTAGCCTCAGTGTTAAAATAACCACAAGACGGGAGAACAAGAGTAAAAAACGTTAAAATATCTGATGAATATAACGGTACAAAGATTATAAGTCAACGTTGTTTAAAAAGAAAGGGATTATGGAAGACATTGAGTTGTTGATTGTTGGTTTATCAAGTCTTCTCATTCAATATACAGACTCTTTAATGATGGACCAGCTGTTAGATTGTACTCTTATTTAACATTGATACACTGTTAGAAACTAGACTATCTAGTGCATCTTAGACAGATATTGTTAAACATAAGAAATATCTGAAGTTTTATTAAAATTAGTCCAAACTTTCATTCTGTTTTTTTAAGTCATAAATTAGGGTTTAGGATGGTTAGTGTAGACAAATCCTTTAGATATAGATCTGTATTCTTTTGCAAGATATGAACACTTAAATACGTGTTAAAAGAGAACAGCGTGTGTTACGTCATGTGTTAAAACCATTGACTGGAAAGCTATACATTGATACTAGACCTGAACACTTATAGTAATATAAACCTGATTCAGCAAGTAATAGCACCTAGTATAATATTGGTCTATATATTCCATCATTAATGCCCTTAATCACATTCTTTAAACAACGGTTCCAAACTTGTCTGGAAGTGTAGACATGAGAATAAGTTCTACTTGTCCAACTTCAGTAGGGACGCAGACTGAAATAGGTCAGTTGTCTGAAGATCTCTACTTGTCCAACTTCAGTCGGGACGCAGGCTGAAATAGGTCAGTTGTTTGAAAATCACATAGCGTGAACCTCTTGAGTAACAACATGTTTTTTTTAGGTTCTGTTTTAATATTTCTATCTATTGCATGATATGAACTCTGAATTGTGTTAGAAGAGAATACTATGTGTTACATGTGTTAAAATAATTAATGACATCATTGATTGATATAACTGACATCAAAAGATACTTAGTTCTACCATTAACTACATTATTTGCTTCCATTGAGAGTATTGAGATGACTGGAATAAAAAATGTATTGAGGTCAATCAATAGTCTAGCATGATTTAACAAAGGGTGTTCGAGCCTATTTCACTGACCCTTGATTCAGTAGGCATTTGCTTCAGTATTATATGATTATATTATATGATTTAATAAGATATATAAGGCAATGTTTTGAATAGAAACAGCACAAATCGTTTATGAGTCAAGTTTAGAATGATATAGAGGTTGCAAAATGGAGAGTTGTTAGACAAAAATAGTACTGATTAATATTGTTTATGTGGACTCTCTGAGATAGCTGTAAGAGTTAACACACTGTGTCATAAACCCCTTGTACATTACAAAATGTATCTGTTCTCAGAGTGGAACAGATGAATTTTGTGTAATGTAAACGGTCGAGCCTCTGAGAACCGTTCTAATTCTGGCACACCTCAGTGAGGTGATCTCAGAACAGACTCAATAAACGGTAACTGTTTGGAGAACGCTTTACTGCACATGCCTCACAAACGACCTTCACCTTTTCCCATGCAAATTTGTCATCATTCTCTGCAATTGTTGATAGATCCAGATGTCTTCTATTACATCACGGTGACTTAAAAGGTCAATTTTAACTTCTTCATGAAGAGTTCCACAGATAACCATGCCGATAACACTTTTCATTTACAACACTATTGGAGAAACTTTCTGTTTACTGTTATGTAAATGGGCATGGAATGTTTTATATCAGCCTGGTGTAAAACTATCTATTGTATCATAAGGGTAGACAATGCTTGATTTCATAATCAAAATTGATCCTTCTTAGATTTATATGAATGGGATTTATAAACTATGAAACTTCTTAGTTTTGTAAGGTCTATCTATGTACACTACAGACAGAGCCTGTAGTCTCAATATTGTATCTTATTTTTAGTTAAATTCTGATTTAGAAATTGCTTCTGATAAATTCCAATGCTATTTTTAGTTCCAAAATGTTTTAGAAATGGGTTGAGATAAACAAAAGATGCAATTTCTATTGTATACAAGGTGATTTTGATCTGGTTTACAAATTTGGATTATATTTGAATTTCGAATGTAATGCTAATTTTTAGTTCCAAAGAGTTGTAGAATTGGTTAAAAATTATTTTACAGACAAGCCTTTTTCATTACTTGAGAGTTTTATTTAAAATATCGTGACAAAACAACTGCCATGAAAAATTATAAAGCAAAATGCCAAATTTATTACAATAGATCTTTAAAATTATTAATAGACCATATCAGTGGTGATTATTACCAGGCCTTGTCCTAAACTTCCTGTTGGAACTATATCAAACTAGGTTGAAATTATTGAGGATTAATATTTTACTAAGTGCTTGAAAGATTTTTTGGTGAAATTTGATAGTTAAAATGTTGTTTAAGGTCTGTAGATTATGTATTGATTGATAATTGTAGGGTAGTTGTAGAGTTTGAGTAAATTATTGAAGAGTTAGGAGTTTGAGTGAATGTGTTAGATTAGGTGTTTTACCTATGTATATCAGTTACACCTATAGCTTCTATCCTCTTCATTATTTGAAATTACAATATTTATCTAAAATCTAAAGTTTTTCTGAAATTACAGTAAATAAAAGCTATAGATGTCCTGTTATACATTAATAGGCAAGAAAACTTCTTTGAATTTCTGATTGATGCACTAGTTATAATTATGTTAGGAGTTTGATAATTTCTTAGGATTATTAGAAGGGTAGGATGATACAGTAGCCATGAATACAGGTACCTTGTTTTGCTCATTATGATAAAGTTTTAATTTTCTGTCTGTTTTCAGGATCAGTATGATACTATCAGTCATCATACACAGAGAGGACTAGATTTCACAGAGAAATTCACACATTTACTGAAAGAAAGAAGTGCAATAGAGTTGGAATATGCTGGTAAATTAAAGTGAGTAGAAACCCATATTTTCTAGACATGGCTGGTTAATTTGTACATAATCTTCACTGACCATGGTATCCTCATGCTTTCCATATTCCCTATTCAAAATTTGGAACCAAAAATCAAATGTGCAGGCCAGGATCTCAACCATCTCAATCTCTTTGCCATTGGGCAAAAACTTACTAAAGATTCTTAGATACCCAAGAAGTGCCAGTACCCATGTTGGAAACCAGGCTGCGTAGTCTAGAATTGATCTTAGTGCTAGGATGTCCTAAAAGCAGTGTTAGAAGTTAGACCCAAGGACATATCCTAGCACTAAGATTGTGTCGAGAATACGCGACCTGCATTCTATTTCATAATATTCAAAAAATAATGTGCCCCATAACAAGTTGGGCTTGTTTCCAGATATTTCTTCATACAAACAACACATCTATCTACTCTTTATTGAAGTAAACCTAATAAGATTATAACAAAATACAGTGGAGTTTTACACCCCATTATTCTTGACTAATTGAGATTATTAAATACAGACATACTAGTATGGTATATCAACATGCTTCCTCGTTGACGGAAATAACAAAGGCACTATTAGTATAAATATCTCTCTTTCTTAATCTATTACCCATACACCACCTATTTCTATATCAGGTCAGGTAATTATTATGTGACAGCATTTTACACAATATCCTGGTTTGAAAATATGTCCTGTGAAAATTGGTATGATAAATATTTTTGTAAAAGAAAGGGGGGGCCCCTGACTCAAAAAAATATGATTTTCGACTTCGCTAACCGTTGTTTTATTTTGACGATTATGTGTTGACACTTTTAAACAAATTGACACACTTATAACAAGTTTTGAACTCTTCCAGACATGCATATAAGCTTACTATTAACCAATATTATACTCAATAATATATATCTAGAACAATTCATTAATAAAATTAGGGGTGTTATTAAAGATATTTTACGGCACAGTTATTCAGGGTCTTCATTTTGCCATCCCGGAGGTACAACACATGAAACTGTACACTCATCTCTGCTGGGGGTCTGTTCAATGGAAGGATAACGATGACAGTGTAGTTTACCAGGCCAAGGTATTCCACCACGCTGCTGTGTTAACAGATTTCCACAACGTCTTTGAACTCGCTCACAAACTTCTCGGCATGGTACTACGAAGGGTACCTCACATTGCCCAGTACCACGCTTTATACAGAATGGCATAAACACTCCACATAAAAAGAATTTCAGATCTGGAGAACAGTTACTGTCTATTAGTGGTTTATATTGGGCCATTTCTACTTTCATTTCCTTGACATTACTCTGTAGAAACATGTTGGGTAGGGAACCGAATCGATATGGTATAGCTGAACACATGGGTAATCTGTTTCGTTGACAAGATACATGACGTCTTTTCTTCTTTTTCTTCTTCTTCTCTGGTAAAGGAACAATACATTTGTTGGAACTCTTGGGAAGGAATTGAGAGCAACGGAATGTTCTGGTCCATGGTAAGTTTTGTCGTCTCATCTCGGGTGAACATCTGGATTTGGCTCGTTTACAAGTCTCTTTACATGGCAGCTGAACCTGTCTTTGACCTGAATAGAAAAAAGACAGAGCATCAAAGTTGTGTTTTATTTGAAGTAGTTATTTCTGAGATTTGGATTAGATAATCAGATCTGTCACCTAGAAACACGGATTTCAGTGAAGTAGTGAAAATTTAATTTTAATTTTCATTTAAAAATGGATATAAATTGATAAATGGACACAATTATATGGGTAACAATTAGACCTACTTTAATAAAATATCTTGCTACATTTTGACAATGATTCTTCCGTCTTTATCAAGCAATTATGTAGCAAGATATTTTATTAAAGTAGGTCTAATTGTTATCTATATAATTGTGTCCAAATACTAAATCCTACTTAAAGATGAAAATAAGTAGGTTAGGGTTAGGGGTTCATCATTATTTATAGTTTCTAAGTGACTGCTTATATCTGGAAAATTTCTTGTTTAAAAGATGTATGACACCTGTAGGCAAGAAATAGCGTCTATCATGACAGACGAGATATGCAGCCATATTTACAGTCATTCTATGGATAACTCGAATTAACTATATTCACCAGCGTACAAACAAATCAAGACCTGCATTTACAAAGTTGTGTGACACTCGAAAATTGTCTAATGATGTCAAGGTATTAGACAGAATTTATAATAGTTTGATATTGTGAAAATGAAAGTTGTCTCACCTTCAATACATTTAGGTAAATACAATCCACACAGTAGAATCCTGAAGTTCTTAGAACATCCCATATCCATGAAGGGCCACCATTGTTGTAGAGCCCAGTATACGTCTGCTTGGGTTTGATGTCCGAATTGATTGGGAAGTCTAGTATGAGTATAATCTACTAAACCTTTACACATTGGAACTTCCAGAGTCTGACATGATAGTGGTCCAGTTTGACTGGATACCAAGACAGCTGATGATATCAATAATCCAATTGGAAGCAAATCTTTTATCTGTATCCAGGCCATAATTATGTTGGTCCCAATCTCAAAATGTTATAATTATAAGTCTTTTCACATAGTTTAATAAACACCTAGAGAACAGTGGCACTGATATATTCTAGAATTAACTCTAACAAGGTATGAAATGTCAATACTCTCTGACTAGTTAGGTTTATAAACCACCACACAGAAGTTTCTATATTCTACTAACTTATAAATAATGATAACAAAACACAGTTTCAACTTTCTAGCTTATTATTCCATTAAGTTTGTGTAAGAATTTCAAAATAGCATTATTAAAATCTCCTGATTTATTCCACCAAGTTTGTAACGCCTACTTACACTCTGATTTACCAAACAAAAGAATCATGGTGACAATGGTTTCAATCTGCTAGTCATATGGAATGGTTTATTTTAGATTTTGAGGGAGAATGATTATTTTCTTAGACATTGTAAATACCAAATTTAACATTTTCTTAAGTTTTCTTTTCTCATTTTTTTTAAAACTTTAAATTATTCTTTATTTCTGTTGTTAAAGAATTTCAGAAAATTGATTTTTATGACAGTTTTAGAAATTATCAACCTTCATACCCCCTGTTTTGATTTAAATGATGGTATCTTCCAATTGTTCCTGGTAACCAATTCCAGATTTTGAGGTGACCACATCTTGAGAACAAATGGTGACCTACCAGTATTAGTAAAGGTTAATATAACCTCAGACCAGACTAGTTGTTTCTAGACTCACTTTCTTGTTGATTCTATCTTCAGACTCAATTTCATTGTTGGTTATTGTCTTAAATCATGGTCCCCTTTCTGTTCTGAAGACTTGGTATAAAAACCAATAATAGTATACCACAACAGGGCAGTTACCAATAACTATATATGCTCAATACATCAATTGTAGAGTGATATAGTAACAATATGTATTTTAGGTTCTGTTTTAATATTTCTAGTTAGATATTTATTCAGATAAACTTCAGAATGCATCATTTCAAGTTTAAGTATTCAAAATTTCCTTTGCCTCCTGCATGGTTTGACCCCCACCCCTTACACCCTTGATTAACAGATAGAACAAGTGCCTGTCTTACAGGCTGTATAAATAAACGATCTCCTATAGTAAGAAATTGTAATATCTGCTGTCCTAGTCCGTATTACACATTGCTTATTGTTGACTGTCTGTATTTCAAAACAAGACTGAAGAAAAGGAATTAGAAAAATAATATTTAATTTCTGTTCTTGTGAAAGATAATCAGTGAGTATGATAAACTGTTGATGTAGATTGTGTTTTTATATCTATCTAGAAAGAAGGTGATATTAGATATATAATCCAGATGGTATATCTTCTTTCTTACATGTTATATTAACAACTACAGCATGCTGTATCTCATAGTTCTAACCAGCTACTGTGGATCAAAGTGTTGGAGGCTAGCTTGCTAACTTGAATGACCTACAGATGGGACAAGCTGGCTTATAACACAACAGTTGGAAATCTTAAAAGAAGAGGCTTATGCTGCTGTACAGGCAAAATTCCCCTCATTGCACACTATATCACATTGTCCATTTTCATTATCTCCTCAAGCACATGTTAAAACACTATTTTATTTCATTTCATTTCAATTCTAACTACCCACTGTAATAGAAATGATGGTAAATGATAAGTTACTGTCTGCTTCTAGACAACTGATATAATATATATATCACTATGTAGATAAAAACTAAGAGACAGTATGTAACTTATAATTGAGTTCAATGCATGAAAAACACCTAATTAACATTTAATATAGAATGAAAGTTCATTCAGTTGATTTCAACTATAAAATTGTTAGTTCTGGCTCTCGAAAAACGTGGATGAGACAATAGGATATAAATACATATTATGTCTCCCTACTACTGAAACATGTAGGAGATCAAATTTTGGGTGTTATTTTGCAATTTTATACTACTGTGCATAGATTTAATCAAGATCCTAAAATTATAGATGATATAACTGTCACAGGAATGTTTGGAGAGTAGGAGTTTAGTTTAAGATTTTGAGATAACACCTATAGAATACTTTCTCTCATAGTAAGAACTAGCCAAGCCTGCTGATCAGTTCTTTCTATTTTTGTTTTTAAATATTTTCTTTCACTACCCCTATATTGCAATGTGTTATATCTTATCATAACCCTTGTTATACATATTTGCAATATACAGCTCTACTTTTTTCCCATGTCAACCTCCTTGACCTGTATCAAAGATTTGAATTCAATAGAAAGACAGATGACACCAATCCTAAACACTGGAGTCTAGTGATAGTTAAATGTTATTTTGATAGTTTACTCTTATTTTCTCTCAAATAACATTCTAAATACTGCTATCAATTGATTAAATTTACAAGTAAATACTAGATTGACCTTTCAACTATTACCTCTGACCTCTTTATTCAAACTAAGCCTTTATAGACTGGACGTTTTGGTCACTCAACTGGACAAACCTGACCAAGGTTTAGATAAATAGATTAATTGGG